GGACTAAACCGGCAACTATTTTTGTTGACCTTTGTCCATGGAAGGTCCCTGCAAAATTTCATTGAAATTGGTTCAGGGGTTTTGGAGAAGAAGTCGAAAATGTAAATTGTTTACGGACGAACGACGGACGACGGACGACGACGGACAAAAGGCGATCGCAGTAAGTCACTTGAGACTTTGTCTCAGGTGACCTAAAAACAAATTAAACGTACATCTGTTATAAAGTCAATTTCTGACATACAGATTGTACCTGAGCGTCTGTAAATATCCTACAGACCCTCTAGGGGGCTATAAAGTATACAAATTGATTGCATCAAGGACGGACCCTCTTGCCCAAAATGAAAAAAAAAGTGTTTTCTGCTGTCACATGTTGACCAACTATGTAGTTTTCATATATGTATATTAAATTTCGTAAAATATTCATGCTGTTCTTGTGCTGCAGTAATCTGCCATTTCTGTCCATCCCAAACCACTCCATATTTGTAGACAGTCACTATGTTTGTAATATTGAGACATTGCCTATTACCTGTTCTTATTCAACTAGAGTAGGGGAGGCAACTATTAATAACAATTATTAATAATCAGATGGAGATTTTCCAATTTCAAAGTTTAATTTGAGTTTCTATCAGAAACCCTGTTGTTTTAGGTTTGAAGCTTTGAAGCAGTGGGTATGGGTTGTTTTAGGTTTGAAGCTTTGAAGCAGTGGGTATGGGTTGTTTTAGGTTTGAAGCTTTGAAGCAGTGGGTATGGGTTGTTTTAGGTTTGAAGCTTTGAAGCAGTGGGTATGGGTTGTTTTAGGTTTGAAGCTTTGAAGCAGTGGGTATGGGTTGTTTTAGGTTTGAAGCTTTGAAGCAGTGGGTATGGGTTGTTTTAGGTTTGAAGCTTTGAAGCAGTGGGTATGGGTTGTTTTAGGTTTGAAGCTTTGAAGCAGTGGGTATGGACCCTCTGCTTTAATACTATCCCCCCGACAGAAAAATTATAGTGATCCCCATTGTGACAATTATGAGCTAATGATCTCTGGATATTCGTGTCTGAGGTTCAATTAAGATATGAAATATCAACTCTCCTATATGTTTATTGGTTTTGCCCTCAGCTCTGTCGGCCTTCTAGTTCTCACATATTGATCAGTTTATTGGTTCTGTCCTCAGCTCTGTCGCCCTTCTAGTTCTCACATATTGATCAGTTTATTGGTTTTGCCCTCAGCTCTGTCGGCCTTCTAGTTCTCACATATTGATCAGTTTATTGGTTCTGCCCCCAGCTCTGTCCGCCTTCTAGTTCTCACATATTGATCAGTTTATTGGTTCTGCCCTCAGGTCTGGTGGCCTTCTAGTTCTCACATATTGATCAGTTTATTGGTTTTGCCCTCAGCTCTGTCGGCCTTCTAGTTCTCCCATATTGATCAGTTTATTGGTTTTGCCCTCAGCTCTGGTGGCCTTCTAGTTCTCCCATATTGATCAGTTTATTGGTTTTGTCCTATTTCCTGTCAGCTCAATTTCTTCCTCCAGGAAATTATCTTTTTATCGTTATATCAAATGTCTGATACATCATCTCTAAAGGCATTTAAGGTAAATTTATACACACTATAAACATTTTTAATGATATTCATTTATCCTTATGGGGAAATACAGTAATTTTCAAGTCCCATTCAATACAATTTTAACAACATCCTCATATACCGTTCCTTGAAGCCAGGCCCCGACGCTGTGGGTTTGATACATAAAACCTGATGCATACAACAAACACCGGACGGGTCTGGAATGATGGTGTGTTTCCAATAATCTGATCATCGTAACATCAAATAGAAATACACAGCTTACTTACACCTCTCCATAGCTCTGACCTTGTGCATTTTATATTTTACTGGTAAAATTGTTTTCATTTGTACAAACTTAAACTATTTTACTAGCAAAAACTATTTCGCTGGTCCAAAATATTTTACTGTAAAAAACTATTTTTGCAGGTTAAAACATGGTAATCTGGCAAGCTACAGTTAGAGGTATCAAGTCTGGTACTCGATGCTCTACCCTTTGAACTTCCCCTGTAACTGTGAAGACCATTAAAGTTAACACACAGCGATAGTTAATACACACGATAGTTAATACACACGATAATTAATACACACGATAGTTAACACACAGTGATAGTTAATACACACAATTGTTTAATTACCCGATTCATCCCAATGAGGACTAGATAACTGCAGAAACAACTCATCAATATTAAACAGGATATGCTTTATTTCCCATTCTGTCCTCGAGTAACAGTGCTGAATACTTGTATCTGATTCCCAAGGCGATCTAACCAACACAGACACTATTGATACAATGAGGGTGTGGGGTTTGGGCAGTAGGTGAGATATGGCAACACCTCATCTGTAACAACACACTTATCTGACCAATTTATAACTCATCAGTTAAAAAAAGATTTAAGGATTAGAATAGCTGTGACTTTGGAGTATGGGTCTACAATGAAGACCTGAGCAATGGTCTGTGTCCTTAAATCAACCAATCTGAATAAACTGCTCATTTACATCCACTGTGGGCTCTGAGAAGGAAACCTAAAATGGTCTACACTTTTTCTGTTTTACCCTATCGCTAGCTTTTCTCAGTGGCCTCCCTTAATGGTTACGAACCACATTACTATTTTTACCGTTGACCTTATTGTGTTGATGGACTGTTTCATTTCAACCTCCCACCAATTCATTGAAAGCTTGCATGATCAGATGAAAGACAAACTAACATTAATTAGGCTACAGAGATATTTTTAAGGACTCTTGAAATTTACTTATCTGTATTATAGACTATAGATTATCTACAGAAGGTTTAGCACATGACTCCCCTCCTTTGGTTCAGAGCAAGAGGAACGAAAGCCCACAGGCGAAATTTGATGACCTCATCACGGCATGGTTGGAAGTGAAAATTGGTGTGAAAACAAACCAAGTACTATGACTACCCGTATTGTTTAGGTTGTTGATGATTTATACAACACCTTAAGTCAATGTATTCTGTAGTGTCACAGGAATGGCTTTCCTGATTTATTAACATGTTTTGATTTTTATTCAAAGACAGTGCTTCACAAACATTACAGAAAAACTTTCTGTTGTGAAAAATATGCTATCCTGTATTCATAACCATTTATTCTCCCAAAGTACTCCACCAATCTTTTCAGAATCAACAGCAAAGGAACGCTAATTAACTGCCAGGCTCCATTGCTCAAAGGTAAGTTCGAGATAACCAGTTGTAAGGGGAAATCTAAAATATGGATACAATAAGATCAAGAACCACTGATATCATTTCAATGCTGTAGAATGGCAGAGACAGATCAGATTGATGTATTTTGTTTGGGGGGTATATTCTGCTTTGAAAGCCGTGTTTTTAATGACAACATTTTTTTTTCTTTCCCACTAACCACTGGTAAATGTTAACTAACCTTTGAGCAACTGGGGCCAGATAGCAGCTGTTATTTCCTGGCAGAAATTCATGATTAACCTTTTTATTTTTGTTTCGAAAATGCTTCAATTTTCACCTGTCAGTGAGTGGTCACTGGAAGCAGCTGGTGCACAGCAAGCTGACATTATCGTGAAAGACATGAATGAAACGGAGCAAAGAGAAATACAACTTTTGAGGGGTTTTAATTAAAGTAACCTTGAAATTCGGTTAACAGGCTATGGAATCTCCAATGAGCCAAGTAGTAGAACTCTCTAGTATATCTGTCACTGGTTTAGGGGTTAAGGATATGTGCCAGCTTAATTACAGTTTGTGGGAGCAAAATGATCACTTGGAAGCAAGGAACATCAACACTTGGGAGCTAAAACATTGGAACATTAATGAATTATTGTGTAAGTAAACTGAAGAATGACATCACCTTTTAATTTCCCGCGTACTTTGTTAGCTGTTCTCTTGATGTCTGTCATGAGTTCTTCCAGCTCTTCCTTTGTTTCTGGAAAGAAAAAATATAAATATGACATTTTGTTTTTAATTGTTTTGAAGGAACAAGGGTTCAGTTTGCTAGTTTTGCCAAATCTGTATAAGTCCATGTTGAAGTAAGCTTTCTCTGTAAGCCATATCGTGTCATCTTTCAATCTCTATAGAGAAGTGTTTTATGTGCATTGAGCCATTGACATGTGTCGTGGAGTGAAAACCTTTATGGTTGGGCCAGAAGAGTTGACCTTTTCTTGGCCCAAATGACCTATCCCGTGTTGATGGGCCATTAAGCAAGTAATAACAAAACGGCCAGTAGATAATAAAATCTCTGAGAACTGCGTGTAAGGCCTTTGACTTTTCCACTGGACTACAGCATAGGAGTTTCACACCCGAGAAGGACTCTGTGTTGTGTTAATTTTTTTTTATTAGATAGTATCAGCTGCTTTCCGTTAACCATCAGCACTGCTAGAACGACTTTGGAGGACTCCTTTAACAGATAAAACAAATCCTGCAGTCAATATGAAGCAGAATCTGAGATAATTTATTTTATTTACACAGAAATCCAAAGATTTTTAACACAAAACCAAAATTAGAAGCAATCAAACAATTTTTATTTTTAAATTATTATTTTGGTTTTATGTTTAACTGATCATTCAAAATTGGAAAATTATGTAGTCACAACCAGATATCCCAGGAGGCAGGAGAGCTAGAAACCTCCTCCAGATGAGAAACAAAGTTGCGAAGGAACAATTTTTTTTCTTAAAAGACTCATTGGCTTGAAGCATTATTGCCCTCACACATGCAACAATCACATGTTCATAAACCAAACGATCCCGCGTTTTGTGAACTCATAATGGCAAACAATCTTACAGACCTTTCAAATCAAAAGCACGGCAAGTCTGAATCCATCGGAAAATGCTGAAAACATTATTTTTTTCAACTTAATTTAAAAAAAAAAATTGTATTCACAATAAGAAGTAAAATCAATAATGTAATTTTTTGAGAAGTTAACAATATGTTTTAAAATAGAAATGTTAAAAAGCACTTTGGTATTGGCATTATGCTTGTCTTTTCTGATAGACAATGCTGTTCCATTGTTTTGAATTGGTAAGGTTCAGTTTTAGGCACCAATGCTGAGCTGTTTGAAAGAGTTGTCCCATGGGGATAACTGTGAATGGTTGTTGAACAGAAAGACATCTAATAACACCTCAAATTATATCAGAGTGCTCGGCTGTACCATAACCAACACAGAGCCTGTCACAGAATAACCACGCCTACAGCCTGCCTATGTTTCAATTTAAAATGATCTATTTGTCTTGATGTAACTTATTTTTTGCATTTAGTACTGCAGAATATGGTTATTAATTTTGTTAAACACTGATCTTTTTATTAACTTTATCCCAGAAGTAGTGATAAATTTACACTCAAATCCCCGTTCAATCCTATACTCAAGGATATTTTTGTAAATTCTGAAATTAAACATTGGGGTTCTAAAGTCTTAAACAAATGGATGGGAAATTTATAATGAAAATGAATTGCAGATTGATTTGGGCTGTTGATGACAAGTTCTCAGCTGGTCCAAACAAGGTGCACCTAGGGCACCTCGGGTACCACTTGGGCACCTCAGGTACCACAGGTACCTCCGGCACCACGGGCAACTCGGGCACCATGGGCACCACGGACACCTCGGGCACCACCGACACCTCGGGCACCACGGGCACCACTGGTACCACGGGTACCACGGGCACCTCGGGCACCACGGGCACCACGGGTACCATGGGTACCACAGGCACCTCTGGCACCACGGACACCTCGAGCACCTCGAGCACCACAGGCACCACGGGCACCACGGGTACCATGGGTACCACGGACACCTCGGGCACCACGGACACCTCGGGCACCAAGGCACCACGGGCACCACTGGTACCACGGGTACCACAGGCACCTCGGGCACCACGGGTACCATGGGTACCACAGGCACCTCTGGTACCACGGACACCTCGAGCACCTCGAGCACCAAGGGCACCACGGGCACCACAGACATTTTTAGTCACTTTGACATCCTTGCCTATCGATATATAATGTCTAAAATACACACTGTATACTCAGTTCCACTATTGCTTGTTACTTTTTCTGCATGTTTTTCCAAAACAACTTATTCCACTGAGGTTTCCTTCAATGAGACAGCTGTCAGTCTTGAGGATCCCTGACCCACTGCGGGTATAACACCAGAGAAAGTTAAGTTTTCTGATTCAGAAATTATCTCTCAAAGTTATAGTTATGTCAGAAGAAACGTTTCTAAGGCTGAGTAATACAATTTTTGTCAGTGGTATGTGGATCCTTATTATCTTGTTCAGCAATGTATGATGTCTACTGGAAACATACAGGTAACTGTACGACAAGCCATTCATGCTTTATACTATGAATTATCCTGTTTCATTATGTTGAATTAAGATGTAATATTTGGGGGGAATTTAAGGTCAGTATATGCTCACTATTAAAACAGGGAAAAAAAATATACATTGGTTGTTTGAAAAATTTAAGACCATAATGAATGTTATCAATTATTTTAATTTTCCACTTATTCCTGAATCTTAAGTTTCGTAAACAAACTATGAATACATAAGAAACACCAGCCATTTGGGGAAAAGTTCCTTCTCCTGATGGAGCCAGTTCTGATGTTCAATGACAAACATTATCGGAATGGGAATATCATGTATCTGACAGGCATTTCTCTAAGTTGTGGTATGCTGCCAAAGTTTGCAGACAACCAGGAATCTGCATTGACCTTAACACAGGAACATTTTAGCTGGTGCTATGTGGTACCATAATCACATCAAAAGGGACCCTTGTGCTTCAGAAACATGTCTTAAAAGTCCTATTAATAATGCCGCACATTCAAACTTTAAGTTCTTTGTATAAATTACAAAGTCTGCAATATGATGGAAATAAGGGGAAGACACCTAAAAGGAAGATGGAATGAGAAGACTGAAGGAAGAAATCCAGGAAGGTGAAAAATGTAAGAAATGGTGGACAATACAGGAGAGGAAAAGAAGTTCTTTTTATAAATTCTAATGCCTGTAACATGACAAAGATGTAGGAACTAATGGATGGAAGGATGGTAGATCAGTGAGTATAGATACAGGAGAGGATAAAAGAAGGAAAGACAAGAGGAAAAAGAAAATGTGAAGACATCATGTGGCTGTAGGGTGCAGGGGTAGGGAGATGGAAAGAAGAATTAGGGAAGGTGAATACATAATTCCTAGAATTAATGATTTTGGATTTTAAAACCCAGATATTATGTTCTAAGTACAATGTACTTCCTTATGAATATCCTGATCACTAATACTTAAACCAAACCCAATCAATGAATATCGTCTAGTCCTCATAAATATTTAAGAAACAAATTAAAATATTCTGTGTCATTTCCCCATCGAATGTGTGACTGGGGAAGATAAATTATAACCAGCCACAGGCAAAACTTTGAAACTATGCGTCACTTCGAGATAGGCTTGTCACAGTTCTTCATCAGAATCAGGATCACAGTCCATCAGCTCAATGTATGGTTAACTTACAAAGTCCATCAGCTTGATGAATGGTTAGCTTACAAAGTCCATCAGCTTGATGTATGATTAGCCTACAAATCCATTAGCTTGATGTACGTTTAGCTTACAAAATCCATCAGCTCAAAGTATGGTTAGCTTTCAAAGTCCATCAGCTTAAGATACAGGTCGCAGTACAAAATTTTGGTGTACACATACAAGGCACTGAATGGAACAGCTTCTCAGTACCTACAGGAGCTTGTTACCCTGTATCAGCCGTCACCCTCAATGCAGTTGGAGTAAGAATCATTGTTGTGTGTCATAAAATCTTGTACTGTGACCTATGGAAACCGGTGCTTTGGGAGAGTTTCAGCCACGTTGTGGAATAGCTTACCACCTGCTATTAGAAAGTCAAATACCCTGGCAAAATTCAAGAGGGACATCAAAACTCACCTCTTAACATCTACATTTTAGGCTCTCTGCAAAGACGTCATGCATACCACCCTTTATTTGTTCAATTACATGTGTGTGTATGTGCACATTGCTTGCTTAAATGTATAAAAGTGATTGTAAGCCTTTGTTTTTGTTTCACAATTATAACTATTACTATTATCCATATGTTGTAAAGCGCTTAAGAGTAATTTTACAAATTATACAGGGCGCTATATAAATGTTGTATATTATTATTATTATTATCAATGTATCAATAAGTTCAACTCAAGGGAAGCTTTTTAGGTTTTCACTGAAAATTACTAAGTCTGTGTATTTTAATGTGAAATGATATAAGTTATTGAGGAAATCAGTTATCCAGACAGGATGTCAGTAATAAGGAAATCAGATAAGTGGACAGGAAGTTAGGTCATGGATTGTCCACTTGGCATTACACTGAGCAAAGGATATCACTGATTGGCCAACTGAACATGGTACAAAATGGTGATCTAGCCAATCAGGCCATCACTGATTGGCTAGAATAACTTACTGTCATCAGATTGTGGAGCAGACAGGATGGCACTGTGTTTTTTCTTGACCTCATCCACATTATCGGAAATTTTATCAATCATTCCTCGGATCTCTTCCACCTGAAAAATACAAACGAAACACAAATTATTCTTCAGTTACAAAATCCTGGAATATGCATTATTTTGCCAGTTAGAATATACACTGACTTAGCTCATTATTTTGCCAGTTAGAATATACACTGACTTAGCTCATTATTTTGCCAGTTAGAATATACATTGACTAAGCTCATTATTTAGCTAGTTAGAATACACACTGACTTAGCTCATCATTTTGCCAGTTAGAATATGTACTGACTTACTGACTTAGCTCATTATTTTGCCAGTTATTAACTTTAAACAACTTCTTTTCAACTAGCTCATCTTATTAAAATATTTTCAAAATGAGGATTTTAATATCAATTATCAATATCATTGGATGATTACAGAACTTTTGATGAAATACAAAATTAATGAATTCAGCAACTTGTACCGATTCATCAGGAGGGAGGGGGGGGGGGGGGGAAATTTGAAATTTGGGAAATGCATCACACAAACCACTTTTGACCTAATTTTCACAATATAAATTCTAAATTTCCGGATTTAGGAATTTTTCCACTTAGTTGTAATTCTGTTATTGATAACAACTGGCACCAAAAAGGCACCGTCATAGGAACAATTCAAATCAAAGCTGCCATGTAATTTTATCTACAAATACAGTAATCATGACGGATGCAAACTTTCAGAAAGACCACTGTATTAACCCTTTCACCACTGTAGACCATAATGGGCTCATCCAAATAAATGTATGGTAGAGTCTACTACAGTTACCTTAGGTGAAATGGTTAATGAGATCAACTATGGAATGGAATAAAGTGACTTCGCTATGCTGCAGATGAAAATTTGAGGTTCATTGTTTGAGGGAGAATATGTCTAAACAATTGTGCCTGGCACCCATTTTGGATCAAAATTGGTTTTCTTAGGTTCTGTGAAAATTATTGCCCTACTGATAATAAAGAAATCTAGATCCAAATGTAAAGATCAATTCATTTATAAAATAAAACTAAAGGTCTCCATACTAATTTATAAACTAGATACAAAACTGTCTATGTACACAAATTCAGAACTGAAACATAATGTTACCATCAATAGCTAATGTAATGTACCAGCTCATGCATAAAGCTCCAAGTAATCAAATCATGTTCTTCCAGAAACAGATCTGCTAGTTAAGATATAATTTCTGAATCCATGGAACAGGATAATAAAACTACAGAGGACATGAATTTGGTAGAACTGCTGGTTAATTGAATCTGCCTGCGTCAGACTTATGTACTTCATTCTATATGATAATCAATCCTGATTATAGTCAAAATATTGCTGCAATCCTTCCCTTACATTTTCGATCATGAATACATTTATGAGTTTCTGGAATATTCTGTTATGATTTTTACAACGACAATCAGGAAATACATTAAGAAATACTGCCATAGTTGTTCTCCACTCATTAAATCGGTGCAAATATAATATACAAGAATTCCACTGAAGTGGATGTGTCGCCTGCGCAGGAAGCTGGGAGATTGTGCTTAACACTGCATGAAGTTTGAGTATGATCGGCCCAAGGAAACTCAAGCTATCGCAGGAAAACAGATTTTCTATTTATAGTAACAGTGACCTTGACCTTTGACCTTCGGACCTGAAAAGCTATCCAAAGCAAGCACTTTTGGTAAGGAAGCACTGCATGAAGTTTGAGATTGATCGGCCCAAGGAAACTCAAGTTATCGCACGAAAACAGATTTTCAATTTATAGTAACAGTGACCTTGACCTTTGACCTCCAGACCTTAAAAGTAATCCCAAGCAAGCACTTTTGGTAAGGAAGCAATGCATGAAAGTTTGAGTTTGATCAGACCAAGGAACTCAAGTTATCACACGAAAACCTCTGTGCGGACGCCGACGCCGACATAGCAATACATATGTGTCACCAGCTTTTCGCAGGCGACACAAAAACTAGGGGGAATGCCCTGACAAATTGAATAAAGGGCAATATCTCTATATACAGTCGAGCATGAGACCTGATGTCAGTTCACATTTACACCACTATGAGCTGCCATTCCACCAGATACTAACTAAAAAAAATTGCCAATTACAGTTGATAGAGCATATGAGATATGCCCCGGACAAAGTTCCTCACTGACAAAAAAGACAACATGAAAGAAACAATGAAAGAAAGAAAAAATAGAGAGCTAGTATGCAGATTGGAGCATAAAACAAGAGGCCCATGGGCCTTAACGGTCACCTGATATATTTATACAGAGAGTTGATTTTGTTTTTAACACCAACAGAAATATTATTCAGTGACAAAAAACAATAAAACCACCTTATTCAATATCTAGCATACAGATTTAAGACTGAAAAGTATTTGAAACTAGCACCTCTGATTCTAAACAAGGAAAATGAAGAAATTTTAGCACACTGTCTCCTTTGGGCCCCACCCCAAAGCCCTTGGGAGTAGGGCTTGCTAAAAAATTTCAAAGTATCAAACTGTCAACTCAGGGTTATAATTCCAATCAAGTTATTAACATGTAATATTCAAAGTACCATTTGCCATTATAAACCATAATAAATTTTGCCCCCCCCCCCTCCCCCCTCCTTCCCCAGGGGGTAAATGTGAGATCCTAGGGCCATAAACCTTAAGACCCTTCCATCTATGAGAGTGTTTGATTCTACCATATCTGGGTCTTTAAGAAGATTTTGTTTTGAAATTTTAGTCAATTCAACCCTTTATGGCCCCACCCATCAGCCCCGGGGGGTCAGTCAGGGCTCATATGTGCATACCATCAAACTGCTACCTAATACTGATAATGCTAACCCAAATTGAATTATTTCCAATGGAAATTAAACAAATGTTGGTCCAAAATGTGATTTCCCATATAAACTAGAGTAAAGTTTACCCCACCCCCGGGGTTAACGTGAGACCCCAGGATCATGAAATTCACAATTTTGGTAAAGCACCATAAGACCCTTCCATCTATGAAGAGCATTTGATTCTACCATATCTGGGTCTTGAGAAGATTTTTGAAATTTCAGTCAATTCAACCACTTTTTGGCCCCACCCATCAGCCCCGGGGGGTCAGTCAGGGCTCATATTTGCATACCATCAAACTGCTACCCAATACTGATAAAGCTTATCTAAATTTAATTACTTCCAATGGAAATTAAACAAATGTTGGTCCAAGATGTGATTCCCTATATAAACTATAGTAAAGTTTACCCCCTCCCCAGGGGGAAACGTGAGACCCCAGGGTCAAGAAATTCACAATTTTGGTAAAGCACCTTAAGACCCTTCCATCTATAAGGAGTATTTGATTCTACCTTATCTGGGTCTTGAGAAGAAGATTTTTGAAATTTTAGTCAATTTGACCCTTTTTGGCCCCTCCCATCAGCCCCGCGGGGTCAGTCAGGGCTCATATGTGCATACCATCAAACTGCTACCCAATACTGATAATGCTTACCTAAATTTAATTACTTCCAATGGAAATTAAACAAATGTTGGTCCAAAATGTGATTTCCCTATATAAATTATAGTAAAGTTTACCCCCTCCCCAAGGGGGGAAACATGAGACCCCAGGGTCAAGAAATTCACAATTTTGGTAAAGCACCTTAAGACCCTTCCATCTATAAGGAGTATTTAGTTCTACCCTATCTGGATCATGAGAAGAAGATTTTTGAAATTTTAGTCAATTTGACCCTTTTTGGCCCCGCCCCTCAGGCCCCTGGGGGCCGGGGACCAAACTGGCAACTCATTTTGTTGACCTTTGGCCATGGAAGGTTTCTGCAAAATTTCATTGAAATTGGTTCAGGGGTTTTGGAGAAGAAGTCGAATATGTAAATTGCTTACTGATGCACGACGGATGACGACGGACAAAAGGCGATCGCAATAGGTCACTTGAGACTTAATTTGTCTCAGGTGACCTAAAAATCAAGTGTATATGTTGAAACACATAACGCGCACATCGTGTAACATTGTGTGTTCCCACACCTGTATTGAGGCAATTTGAAGCCATATATATATAGGGACGCCTCCATTCATTTCTATTGCTCCTGTTTCATGTGGCACAGATAGCATTAACATGCCTCTTATGTAGCCAGACTGGTTTGTGTGCCTCCTTAACGAAGCCAGCGTACACTGGTTACCTGTGAGTAAGGCTAGAGTGACTTGTAGCTAGCTGACACTTGTAACCTGTCAGGCTAGATCAACTTGTAGCTAGCTATAACTGAAACTGGTTATCATTAAGGCTAGAGTGACTTGTAGCTAGCTGACACTTGTAACCAGTCAAGCTAGAGTGACTTGTAGCTAGCTGACACTTGTAACCAGACAGGCTAGATCAACTTGTAGCTAGCTATAGCTGAAACTGGTTACCAGTCAGGCTAGAGTGACTTGTAGCTAGCTATAGCTGACACTGGTTACCAGACAGGCTAGATCAACTTGTAACTAGCTATAGCTGACACTGGTAACCAGTCAGGCTAGATCAACTTGTAGCTATCTATAGCTGACACTGGTTACCAGTCAGGCTAGATCAACTTGTAGCTAGCTATAGCTGTCACTGGTTAGCAGTCAGGCTAGCATGACTAAAGCTTGTAGCTAGCTGACACTACTGGTTACCAGCCAGGCTAATATGATGTGTAGCTAGCTGACACTAGTTACCAGACAGGCTAGATCGACTTGTAGCTAGCTATAGCTGACAATGGTTACCAGTCAGTCTAGAGTGACTGAAGCTTGTAGCAAGCTGACACTACTGGTTACCAGCCAGGCTAATATGACTTGTAGCTAGCTGACACTGGTTACCAGGCAGGCTAGATCGACTTGTAGCTAGCTGACACTGGTTACCAGCAAGGCTAGAGTGGTTTGTAGCTATCTGACACTGGTTACCAGGCAGACTAGAGTGACTTGTAGCTAGCTATAGCTGACACTGGTTACAATATCGACTAGAGTAACTCGTAGCTAGCTATAGCTGACACTGGTTACCAGCCAGGCTTGAGTGGTTTGTAGCTATCTGACACTGGTTACCAGCCAGGCTAGAGTGGT